CTGGGGGGGGGGGGGGGGGGGGGGGGGAGAAGAAACCAACTTTTAAGATGGCTCCCCCCAGCACCAGCTCCTGTTTCTTCCCCCACCCCCCTTGCTGCATCTCATACAGAGGCAGCAAGGGGAAGGGAGTAGTTAAGTACTCCACTTGACTACTCAGTTACATCCCTAGTGCCAGATTTCTTGAAATACTCACACCCACAATTCCACTTGAAGTCAACTGGAGCTCTGAGCACTCATCCTCTGAAATTTCCATAAAAGGGTTCAAGTTAGATTCCCAAGAACTTCTGCTTTTGAACACCGTCTTAAGCAAATGAAGTGGCATAAAGGTGACAATCAGTTCACGCTTCTCTAAGTGACAAAGCTAGTAACGTAGGATCTTGAACATGATATTGATATACCACTTTACAGAACTTCAAATTAGACAGAAAAACATTGAGAGTAAACTCCATACCCTTACTAATGAGGAACTGCTCCCCACAGTGTTCCCTATTGCTCTTCCACTCTAGTTTTAAAATTTCTCCTGCTGCTGATACTCAGAAGGCCCAGTTGTAGTGTAACTATTGCTAGGATCACAATCTATTATACATTTGAAAGAGTATATCCATTCAAGAACTGCTCCTAAGCTAAGAGCTAGGCCACCAAGTTTAGTATACAGCTTCCTCTTATAACAAAGTAAGATCAGGGTTGGGATGTGCCTAGAATGGGATTGCTTTTCATAAAAGCCACACAGAAAAGAGAATCACCAGACAGGTTAAAGACTGGCTGAGAGCATGCTCCCTCCCCCCTGGGGTCTGGGACTGCCACAGCCCTGAGCCTCTCAACCCCAAGGGCACCCTTTAGGCTGAAGCTCCTCCCAATTCATAAGGGAACATTACTGTCTGTTCTCCTTTGTCAGACAGTGAAGTGCAGTTTGCTGCATTCCTTATTCTGGGAGGCAGGTACAGGGGGCAAATGAACCTGAACCTGTCCCAGATGGGGACATGCACTCCTCCCCTGGCTGTGCCCACTGGAACTACAGTGGCTTCTCACCTGGCCCCCAAGCTGCTGCAGTAATCCTCTCTCCGCAGGACAGCCTGCATACTGAACTCCTCAGCCCTAGCTCCAACCCAGAGCAATGATTTAAATGAAACATGCACATTTTCATTTTATTTTCCAGAAAACAAAAATTGAGTTAAGGACCCAAGCAACACCAGGTAAATCTTTTAGCTATAGTATATTTGTCATAACATGGTTAACAAAAGCCTTACAGGGAAAATGACCCTTTTTTTTAACTGTCTCCAAAAACCACTACTGCTCTATGCATGTCCATGCCTATGTTATGCTTCAGAAACATGATTAGGACTAATTTCACAAAAATAGCTACACATCTCGTAACCCAACTTCCTCAATATTGTTGCATTTGAAACAGACAAGAGGTACAGCACACAGAGATTTAAACAAAGATGCAGTAAAGCATCTACATTGGCATAAGAGTCATTTTAATGCCAGTGCATTGGCTTCAAATCCAATGTGTACAGGCCACTAAAGTAGCTACTCCTGTATCCCATCTAGAATTTTCCATTGACATAACATCTGATTCCCTGCTTGTGAAAGATCAGCTTCAAAGAATTTACATTCAACATTTCAGCCTCATATTGTGCCTGGTTTATGGCAAGAGCTTAAAAATTAACTACAAGTAACCCCTAGGTTTCAAATCCACTTCTATTTTTGCTCATTAAGGGAACATTATGGGGTAGGTATTATAATTGGAATAGCTTAACAGCCATAAAAATAACTGAATGCAGAGAAGCAAGTTGTACCTCATTTTATACACCAAGGCTTCTCAGTCATTAGGGACTTACTTCACCTTGCTGAAGCTAGAGCCTACAGAAAATTTGAGGTTCTATTTTTTTCCTTGTTCATTCACCATAGCAACGGGCTTCTCCCAATGAGACTTTCCAGGAACACTTTCTACTAAAACCTTTAAGATTGCTTTGCTTATGATCTTTAATTGCAAAGTGATTAACCTGCATAATAAAGAGCATCTGTGACTAGTACTAAGCAAGAGTACTGCTACAAAGAATCAGTAGCTTCTAGATAGTTATGTATTTCCGAGCTATGAGATGTGTCTCTTGGACACGAGAGCCCAACATGGGAGAGACTCCCACCTCATTGCCCTGTCCCAAGTAGTTGCAGGGCCATTTACTAGCCACTCATTCTTTCACCAGCTACTGCTATTCCCTCAAGTCTGAGTAGCACTGCACAGAACTGAGGAAAGAACTCAAGAGAATGTGACAAATTGTGGGGTTAGCAAAATGGAAGACTGCTCCCAGAAGTAAGGGAAAGGGAAACAGGAAGAAGAACTGGAGAAATAAAAAGGAGAAAACTGACAAGCAGAGTAAAGCTTCATCTATGCTTGCTTAAAAAAACAAAAGCTGAATTTGGGAGACATTTCCCTGGGTAGACTAATAGGGGATTTCATCTGTTTCTATATTGAATGGCAACACCACCTCAGTATGGGACGGACACAAAAACGCTACTCACCATTACTTTTTAGTCCTAGAAGTTTTGATTTACAGGCAGTCCCCGGGTTACGTACAAGATAGGGACTGTAGGTTTGTTCTTAAGTTGAATCTGTATGTAAGTCGGAACTGGCGTCCAGATTCAGCCGCTGCTGAAACTGATCAGTTTCAACAGTGGCTGAATCTGGATGCCAGTTCTGACTTACATACAGATTCAACTTAAGGACCCCAGGCATCCCCAAGTCAGCTGCTGCTGAAACTGATCAGCGGCTGATTCCAGGAAGCCCGGGGCAG